TGTAGGCTATACTGTGGACTTCAAGGCACAGGTCTGATATCGTTCTGTAGTTGAGACCCCTAGTGTTGTACAGGATAGCGTTTGTAGCACTTCGTTGCATTTTCAGCCAAGTTTTGATCGCCTTTGTGCGGATAGCATCAAGTTTTTGTAACTGTGTGTCTGTCAGATCACGCACCATCAGCATGTACCTCCAAGATAGGATTCTTTTCTTATTGCTGATTTGTTTAATATGTTTTCAATAGTTGTTTCCATTGTTTTCACCGAAATTTCATAAGTCCCATTAGTTTTGCACGAGAATGTTATGTAGCCTCCCAGGAATTTCTCCGGTGCGTCTTTAGTTGTTTTAACAGGGTCTCCCGCGATCGTGAAGCTAATGCTAGTTTTGTTCAGATATCGTTCTAGATAGAGTGCAACTTTTGTTGATTTGCAATAAAGCAATGTTTGTCGTTACTCTGTCATGTATGGTTTTTTTTTGTTTTTTTCTTGTACTTGTAGTGCCATGACCCATTGGGGGCAAAAAGCAAATTAAAGATCAAGTGATGGCCACACAACATGTGGGACAAATGTATCTTTTTCTTGTTGGAAGCCAATTCTGTCCAGAAAATGTTTTCTAGAGGTATACATCACAGTCTAATTGAATAGAAAACGCACTCAACTTGTACTAATGTACATGTACTCTATTTCTTGAGATTACGTGAACCACATGTATCCTTTCATAGTGGGTCGAGCCGCAAAATAATGTCGATCTGAAGAGTGCCACCATAACGCGCGACACAGTGTATCCCTCAACCTGTAACGCCAACCATCGAATTGACTTGTTTTGGTTTATTTACAGAGGTCTTATAAAAAAACAATTTCGACGCCAACCAACGAATTAACTTGTTTGGTCACAGAGCTCTTTGTGACAACTATCGGAAGGCTATGCTAGCAGCTCCGCGGTTGGAGCCCAGTAGACTATAGATCCATTGGGAAAATTGATGACAAATAAAACATTGAATTTACTTGATGTACACAGGTCTAACAAAAAAAAACAATGTGATGCGAACCAACGAATTGACTAGTTTTGTTGCAGACCTCTGTATATCACAGAGGGCTGTGCTAGCATCTCCATGTAGTAGCTATGCAGAGCTCAATGTAGTTATTGAGTTTGTGACGCGAACCAACGAATTGATTTGTTTGTGCCAGGAGCTCCCTCCACAGAGGTCTCAAATACTAATTATTCTGACGCCTACCTCGGAATTGACTTGTTATGTACGCAGACGCTGCTCGCGTGTGGCGGAAAGCTGTGTGTGTGGTCAAATATGAATAAACGACACTTTATTTTTGTACGGAGGCTTACGTGTCTCTTGTTTTTGAGCACCAGTGATCTTTTTTTTCCTTCAAAACAACCCAAGTCAAAAACGACAATATCCTCAGAAGGGTTTGACCGTAAACTAGGACTGAAAAAAAGAAGAACCTCCTTGGTGGAACAAAATGTATATAGACTTGTAAAAATGCATCCAACTCAAATTATGATATGCTACCAATAAAAAACATGGAAAACAAAAAGATGAAGAAACATTGTGACGCCAACCAACGAAATGACTTGTTTTGAGCGCAAGGAGGTGAAAGCAAAACTGAACTGTGACGCCAACCAAGAATTGACTTGTTAGGGCGCAGAGCTCTCCGTGTTGTCGTGCGCAGAGTTGCGTGACGAAGTCTTTATTTGTGACACAGTACTGGCTGTATATCGCCTACTACTCACATTGAATTGACTTGATATCTACAGAGCTCTATAGAAAACTGAACCCGTGACGCCAACCAAAGAATTGACTTGTTAGGGCGCAGAGCTCTCCGTGTTGTCGGAGTTGTGTTGTCGTGCGCAGAGTTGCGTGACGAAGTCTTTATTTGTGACACAATACTGGCTGTATCGCCTGCTACTCACATTGAATTAACTTGATATCTCCAGAGCTCTATACAAAACTGAACCGTGACACCAACCAACGAATTGACTTGTTAGAGCACAGAGCTCTCCGTGTTGTCGTGCGCAGAGTTGCGTGAAGAAGTCTTTATTTGTGACACAGTACTGGCTGTATCGCCTACTACTCACATTGAATTAACTTGATATCTACAGAGCTCTATAGAAAACTGAACCCGTGACGCCACCCAACGAATTGGCTTGTTTTGGCGCAGAGCTCTGCGGGGGTATCGCGGAGGGCTGCACGAGCAACCTCCATGGAGGAGCTCTGCAGAGCTGAGGGCTGAACGAGCAACCTCCATGGAGGAGCTCTGCAGAGCTCCTCCATGGAGGTTGCTCGTGCAGCCCCTATTGACCCCCAGTTGTTTAAGGTTTCTTGTGGTGCACTGAAAATTGCAATATCTGGATTGCATATGCCCTGATATGCCCAAAGAACCAATATTTGGTTCATATGAGACCTTAGAACCAGTAATTTATACGATAATATGTTAAACTCAAAATGTTGATTTTTTGCCATCTACCTGAAAGTTTTGTATCCACTTTTTTGTGTAGGTATAGTTTTATGACCTTACGAAAGTTTTTGTTCTGTTGCTCTACTTTTTACTAACATTGCTAGCACACAGGGGAGTGAAATACAAATTACGTACATGCCAAACTTGTGTGATAATTCGTTTTGTTTTGTGTCCAGTCAAGGTTTGGTGAAGGATGCGGTACCGATCAGGGAGATCACCGAAGCAGACGTTATAATTTACAGGATTTTTCAGTACGTTATAACGATAAAAGATCTAAGACGTCAAAAAATGATTAAACGTTAACTTAACATTTCTACTATACTATAATACATGTATATATTGACTTCTTGTTGTAGAATAACAGACCTGTGCAAAAGCTCTGAACAAAGGCCTACAATGAAAACGTTCGTCACCCATGCAAGCCATTTCGTCGTCGTAAACGCACAATTTTAAAAATTTTCCTTGTATTTCTTTCGCTAACAAAACCTTCCAGCGTGCCGCTCAGCGTACATTTTCCTCTGCACAGGCGAGGAATTGGTTTAGGAAAACGACTAATATTTTCGTTGTAGCCTTTTGTACTGCCATTTTTAGTTTCATATTTCGATTAAGATTTTACACCAGTAAATTTGCATATACATGTTATTGATATTTATAATACAGTAGTAAATCCGGCATAATTTGTTGTGACATATACACACTTATAGGACACACACACACACGTAATACTGCATCTTGTCATCATTTTAGGATTCTATTGGACAAATCTTTGAAGAAGATCAAGACGGCGAAAAAGCTTGTAGCCCTACAGAAGAGCGTTACTGGACACCAGGACATCATTGTCAGCTATCAGATGGAGGGGAAGCCATTCGGTATCTACAATAAAACTAACAAAAACATTACCAAACCATGCTTTAATGTTGACCTATTGTTATTTTCTGTATTCGACAGAATGTTTGGTTGCAATCCTGTTATTTAATATCTTAAACCGAGAAATATGGGAGGAAAGAAAGGTATTCCAAGGTATTCTGTCATCGCGTCGTTTGGCCATGATCCGCATGGTGGCGTTGTATCCATGTGTAAATAGTACGAAAATGTTAGGAACAGCCATTGTGAGAAACTTATTTTAATTCAATTTAGAGAAGTCAGTCCAGGTCAATAACACAACAGTAACTGCCATCAAAGCAAAGAAAATAGTTTCAATTTTCCGTTTTGTTTTGACATTCTGAATTGTATAAATCCTTAATCCAAAAATGTTCCTTAAAACAAGTTAGACATATCTACATACTTGAAAATGTTTACCACAAAGCATCAATATTTAATTATTTGAAGGCCATCTATGACGTTTGATGCTAAGTCAAGAAACCCAATGTAAAATTCATGACAAATTGATGACGAACAGTTTACGATTTACATTCTTTTCAGAGCGCAGATTGTTTCTGGAATTTGCCATGGATCATCAGAAACAATTCATGTTCGTCGTGACAACGAAAGAAAAAATCCCACGAATTCTTAGGTATGGTCTATGTCTCTGATCATCTGTGTGAAACACACCTAAGGTTCTATATACTCGGCTTTTCTGCTTATCCTAGATTAAAGAATTTTAGTATTATTTGCCATTTTTTTCTGATCGGACACATGTATATTTAGTAACCCAGTTTATCATTGTGTAAATGTCTTGAAGAATAGTTTTAAGCGCACACGAATGATGTTTTCATTGTCACTGTGACATGTCCATTGCCTGTTGTCTTTAAGCGGTGGCAAACTTCCGAGCATACCGACAACCTGGTATCTACACTGCGTGGAGGAAAAAGAAGGCAGCGAAACGTGTCGGAGTACAGCCTATCGCGGTCTCCTGCGGTCAGATGGCCTCCTAAACTTTATACAGGCAGTCAAACTCCCTAACGTGGTACGTGTCTTTACTAGATAGATTAGATGTTCTTCTTTGGTACCAGACTTTTAGGGCACGGTCACATTTCCAAGCTGGGGCCCGACCGGGACGAAAAATAAACAATTTGTATTAAGAGTATACACAAATAGTGCTCATGGTTAATTTTCTTTTTGTGTGTGTGTGTTTTGCTGTCTTATAGCATGGTTTTCGTTTCATGATCATACGACTGCCCGGCCAGGCCCCAGGTTGGAAAATGTGACCGCGCCTTCACCCGAATATGAATCATCTGAAATGTTTGTCATCACATAGTGAGATTGTATTTTATCTAAATGAAGTTTACTTCTCGTTTTTGCCCAGATGACATTTTCGGACCAAGACCTGACAACTTGCAGGACCCTGGGTCTACATGTTATTTACGTCTTCACCAACACGGAAATGACGTCTGAAGCCACGGAAGTGGCTACACGTTTAGGACAGGCTTTCCGGGGTGCTGCCGGCATCATGGTCACAAACCTGTCAGTATTTCATTTCAATTTCCTTTAACTTTTCCAATGATATAGAACATCGCGTGACAAAATAGCCAAACATTCTTACATTAAAGAAACACATGTTGGTGACACATTGCGACGATAGAGAAACACAGTGACTTATAAAACATGTATTTAACGTGCTTTTGTTATTAGGGGACTACTCTCGATATCTCTTTTGCTTTACTAGTGGTTAAGAACACCCGCACCAACTCTCCCTATTCACACCTTTACTGGCACTGTACGTATGATATTATTGTTGATTCCTTCCCCCTCCCTTTCTTTCTCCCTTCCTTCCTTTCTCCTCTCTTTCATTCTTTCCTTCTCTCCGTTACTTTGTCTCTAACATTCTCTTTCTGTCTGCAAGTGTCAATCCTTATCAACGTTAATTTATCACCCTAAGGTAATAATTGGCATAATAGAATATCGCGCCATGCTATAGGTGTTACTTGCTGCCGTATGTGGTTGTCTGCGTACGCAGTTCAAACCTGTTAGTTAGCATGTTTAGTGATAGCTGTTTCATACTTCAGTGACAGGATCTCGAAGTCGAGATTACAAGCAGTCGGTGTGAACATGACGAGGGAAGTTGAGTTACCAGCAGTAGCCATCCAAGCAAATGGACATGTGCGTATATCCCTTCAATTTACAGTTGCCTTCACTTCATGCTGTCCATGTAAACGATATGGCCGGTAGCAATTCTATCAACAACGTTGTCAAAAACGTTTAACGTTTGTTTAACCGATTTCCATTTCCTCTGAGAATATATAAAGAACTGGTGGATGGATGATGTGCTCTGTATGTGTTCTGTATGTATGGGTTCTGATCTCTGTTTATGGTTGGTCAATTTCTAACGATCTGAATCAATGCCTGAGATCTGTACGGTTTAGAATCATCATTCATGTTTGATATGTTAGGGGAATCTGCACTTCGTGGGCGGGTTTGTTGCTGGCAGTCTGCTGGAGCGTCTACAAACGTACGTGACGTACTACGAGGCCTTACAGGTTCATAAAGAACATCAAACGAAGAAGCGGAAAACAGGTAACATGTAATATGTAACAATATTGATTAATGAAAACAACCAAAGAAGTTTGATATGCAAATTATATCCGGTAGTCCCTGATATACAGGTGATCTGTCCCGGATCGGGTTGATACGAGGCCTGTGGTGTAGTATATTTTCTAAATGTAGGCTCTATGGTCTTGGTAGATTCGTATACTATTTATATGGATCTTATACGTACGTTAAAATAATTGATATCTTGAGATTTTGTTTGTCAGGATTTTTCTTCTGAACTCATGGTTGTTAATCTAATAGATACGGACCTTAATATGCTAAGTAATGAAAGTATGTAATTTTTTCTTCCATGTAATGAATATGAATAGCAGGTAATCAAGTCTGAACCCTGTGTGTTTCTTTTCTTACACAGATAAAGATGGCCAAGGAGACATTGTAGCCATTGTTGTAAACAAGGATATGGTGAACACCATTAACATGAAGCACATCTCCACCCTAACGGACAAAACGTTTTCAAGAGTTGTGGAAGAGGAGCGTTTAGTAGTGATCGTGTTCCACTTGAAATGTAATTTCAGCTTTCATATCATAATTCTGCCAACACATGAAAAAGGCGTTACCAACGCGTATGTCTATCTTGGCGATTACCAATGATGCTTTCATCTCTAGCTCTTAAAATTAACAATTTTCAATAACCTTTTCCAGAAGGTTGTGCATTTGGTATGGCCATGGCAGGATATATATATATATATATAACTGTGGACTTATGGGGCATAACTCATGATGCCATGGACAGATGTTCGTGATTTTGACCTTTGATATAATTCATGCAAATGGTATCTTATTTGCATAACCAATGAGAAACATTCATAATTCATCATCTGGCGAAGGTAGGAGATCGTGGAACTCTTGTTGTCTTGGACATAGGTCATTGATTGCTGTCTCGCTATAGATCAGCAGCAACAGCAATGACATTTCTGTTCTATGTGCAGGGGATGTACGGTCAAAGGCCTTTATGCATAGTTACTCGGAGGCGTCCATGGAGCTGACAGGTATGTGATCTGTATAAACTCAGATAGAAAAGGAGAAGTGGGACATGTTCCCTTAACACATATTATTTAATGATTCTACCGCATCAAGTGTAGGTACACTGTACATAAACATGTCATGTTGTAAGACCACACGTTTATTCCGTTCCAGACACCAAAAAAAAGTCAGGTCCACGGTGCCCAGAGTGTTTACAAGCCATTAATCATGTTGTTAGATCTATATACATGTATGATTCATTTGTGTCAATGTTTGATCCCCTTCTATTTCTAGGTCGTTTATCACAGCATAGACAGGGAAGTTATTACATTAGTACATTACCTACAGCAAATGAAACAAAAATACATTTAATGGACAAAATCTATAATCTCACCATGTCCACGTAGAAGGTTGTCGGCATGAGATAATAGCACCTATCATGCCTTATCAAATTCATCTGTATGCTCGCCTTTCAGCTGCGTTGAGGTAATGGTCCTTTGATGTTTAAAAAGTTCGCTGAAGGGGGCACGAAACCTATAAAGGAATGCTCCGAGACCATTACTTGCTGTTTACCGGCAATAGGGATTATGTCCTAATGTTTTCGACAGGGTGACGTTTTGCTCACGCGATGTGACCTTTGCGGTTGGTTTGTTCCTCCCTCCTTGGGGCGTTCTCTTGTCATCACCATTACCTCGCTCCCGCTGCTTCACTTCTAAATTGAGAAAACGTAATTGCCAGGAAAGGGAGGCAACAAATGTACCTTATCAGACATTCCAAATTCTTTACACAAGTGTAAAAGCGTGTAAAAGCCTATTTCTTACACCCACTGGCAGTTGTAGGTGGGGTAATCGATTTCATACGTTATAGCAAGAGCGCCAAGCTATTCGTACCGTATCTGAAGATAGCAACAGACATGCACGTACAGCTATGACTATGGTGCAAGGAAAGTCCATTATAAAGTAATGGTTCGTGTGTTTTTCATACTTTTAAGTATACATATGTATACATATGAAGCTTAAAAGCTTCATATGTATACACTGTTGAGAAACGCCATGAGCAGCATTACGGAGCCAATATTTTCTTGTGAAACAGATCTTGTACGTTTAGCACTACTGTGACGTGCGGATTTAGGGTTTGTTTAAATCTGTTTATTACTCAAATAGAATGTGTACAAAATGTGTGACTGAAGTTGGTTTAACTTTGTAATACTATCATCATCTACAGAGGAAATGCATTTTGTTACATTCAGGACTAGACGAGGAGAAAAAGAAAGGAACTACCGATAAGCAAAATACTTCATGACAACAATCCTTATTCTGTTTTTCTTTCAATGTATGTTAGCCGATGCTCGGTGCAATGTAACTCTGGCACAAGTTCTTTGTGACGACTGGACCGACGTCTGCAGACTGAACAGCATCGCGGCCTACCCGACGGTCAGAGTCTTCACTGAAGGGACATTTCTGAAGGATTACAAAGGGATGTTGGACACTACTGAGTTCGTGAACTTTGTGAAGTTGTGAGTAAGACTACTGAGAGACTAATGAGACCACGAATTTTTGATCTCCAAAGTATTAGAATGAAATCAGCAGAAACCTAAATATCCCAGTAGAAACCCACCCCTAACAATCATTGCATAGTCCTACCCAAATGGGTTAAATGCACAGCTTTTTAAAAGATGGTTATAAGGTATAAGGTGGTAAACCATAGAGCCACACTAAAGAATTAAAAAAGTACATAGTGCTTAGCACTTATGGGAAAGAGTAGGTCAGTCAAACTCACACCACTACTTTTGGACTAACCCATTCTGTAGCGCCTGAAACAACCGCCATATTCGCCGAAAGGTGTGGGGAGTATTCTAAGTAACTGCCTTTCACCAGAAGGTATACCCCCCAAGCAGCCCAGTTTTCAGTACCTAGGAAAAACTACACTTTTGCTATTAATTTGAAGCTTCGCTATGTGACATGTAGATTCCAAAAGCTGGTTTTTAGAATGATCACTTTTTCTTACATGGTCTAATATGATTACTGTATGTATATGAACTTGTTACAGACTCCAAATGGAAGCACCAATAGAGATCAAGTCTGTAGATGATGCGGCAGCTTTCATCGCAGGGACGTCACCCGACCTGCTCAAAGATTCCGCTCATACGGCTGTAGTGGGGGGCTTCAAATCACGGGATCAGGAAGGTAAAGCCTGTTTTCCAATATCATCCACCACACAAGGAATACAGCATGATCCTAGCAATTAGTGCCGCAAACTTGTTACTGAAGGTATAAACGTCTAATGCTAACTATTATCAAAGTTGCACGCTGTAATCAAACGTGGGAGAGATAGATCCAGTTGAAGGGACAACATTGGCAAGCAAATACAACGTGGTTTCCACTGTTTCTCTTGCTAATTGAGAAACGCCATTGCTGTCTGAGTCGTTGAACACTATGTACAAGAACAGAAGATTGTAAAAGTAAAAGTAAAGGGTGTGTTTAAAAAGCCCTTTCACATCTGACTTGGTATAGTAATGATTAGCTATGTATTTTCTTTTTAGAACCTTGAAAACGAATGTATCTATGTATATACGTAGTGTTAATCTTAAAACCAATCATTGCTTACCCGCCTCCATATAAAATGCATTTAGAACTTACTTATGCCATTGCAGAGAAGTATTGTACGAGCAACTTGCCACTGACGAAAATAGCTTAACCTTGACTCCCAAGGTTACACGATAAAATTAGCTGAACGAAAGCTTCATTATATATAGGCAAGGCGAAGTTCATTACCAGACAGGAACACAAAGGATTGCCCGGGATGCTCTACCTCCCCATCTTGCATATAATTGATTGGTCCATATAAGTCGAAGGTCTCTATTTCCTCGAGCAATATATTGCTACTCACTTACTGACTTCCTCCAACCCCAGGGCTAATTATCAACGTCAGGAAATTGGTTTGACGGAAATGTCGAAGAGGGTCGTTTCATCAAGGACAAACTGGCAAGATATGTCAAACTGTCGCATGCTCGATAGATGTGCCACAAATTTCAAAGGGATTGAACTGATGAAATATACAACTTCGAACAAAAAAAAATGCCTCAAACAAAAAAATTAAAGGCAAATTGCCCTTTCTCAGGATTAGGAAAGGTAGGGCAAATACAGTACAGTAGACGTATACACATTACATAAAACTCCATATGAAATAATCTAAGAGGACTTTAATTAACTTCTCGCTGATGACCCTTGTTGCAGAGTTTAAGATATTTAAGCAGGCTGCACGTGACCTTCATGGATACTTTGTCCTTGGCGCTGTGACAGATGAGAAACTGGCTGCAGAAGTGTAAGTCTTAAATTAGTTGTGAATTGATAACTGGTGAACAAATTTGACTCCTTTCAACTGAAGCAAAACATGTATATTGACCTGTATCATGCAGAATGTATGTTAAAAAATGCAGTTAATTTTTGAAGTTTTGTTATCTTGGTGTCTTTACAGTTGCTCCCAGTTTGACGCCGAGGTACCCTGTGCCGTGGTCGTGAAGAGAAATGATGACCATCAACAACACAAGGTCTTTCAAGAAGACGCTGTGGACACGGAAGCTCTTATCAACTTTATTCAAGTCGCAAGTCTTCCAGTTTTTGTAAGTTTTTTTGTTTCATCAATTTTTTTTGGCCCAGACTCACATAATACGAATCTTTATTGCAGGTTCATTCCCCGGGGGGATAAATGCAGGGATGTACAATGTACATGTAAACCATTCTTAGATTCTTGGATTTCATATCATGCGAACTGACGATACAATATATTACATTTCATTCTCCAGGCAAAGTTGACGGTACGAAGCTTCCCTGCCCTGTCCCGGATGAATAAGCCGTTCGTGATTTTATTCGGCGGCTCTGACAGTGATCTGGGAGCGATGGGGAAAATTGCAGCTTCAGAGCAAATCAACGCAGTCTTCTCGTGGATGGACTTGTAAGTAGTACATATAGATTCAAAGCCTAACTTTTCAATTCGTAGTAAGTGACCTCGAGTCCATTTCCCATAGAACTGCGGAACTGCAGTTTTGTTGACACCTTTTATACTACTCAAGAAGGGGTGGATTTTTAAAGACGCTTGATGGTCTCTTCACAGAAATGACCCGGACAAGTTAGCAGTGGAGCTTCTCGATGTTTACGCAGCAAGTACGGATATCCCTGCTCTAGTAATGGTGGACCATGCGACGGTAAGAGGTCATTTTAGATCTTCATTTTTCTGTAAAAGCCTGTATACTAGTACATGTATCTACGATTTTATGGAGTAAAATAATTACCCTTTTCCAGCAAAAGTCCAGAAAATTAGTTCATGCCTGTTCGATATGACGTGTCACGTCCCACTAGCCCTTGCCGTGGAAAGAGGTCCATGCAATTGTTTGTTCGTGTGATATCCTTGTGACATCCATGTTTTGTATTTCTCTCAGGGAAGCATCTGTCACTACCCGCACAGTGGTAATTTTGATTTGGAAGAGATAAAGGCTTGGGTTGAAGAATGCAAAGACGACAATGTCGTGAAGACTGGTGAGTATTGCTCAAATTTCACAGCTAAAGGCCGATGTCAGATTACCTTGTACTCAAATTTATGCTGATGTTATATACAGTGTCTATGTCCGTCTGGTTTTAGGACAACTTATATGGACAACTTGGCCTTTAGTCAATCAGGCGGTAAACCAGAGCAATTCGCCCTGCCCAGGACAAAACCGGTTATATATAGATAAGGTAAAGACTAGGATTAGACTTAGGATTAGGGACTTAGGCTTGATTCAAGATTAGGGTTAGCGTTGAGGTTAAGATTAGACTGAAGACTTAGGGGTCTTCTTGATAGCGGAACGTCTAGACACCGTCAGACGTGTTCTGACTTTCTAGGTGCCGAGTTGTCCAACACTCTATCCGTCTATAGCACCCCGAAAGCTAGACCAAACCATTCATACCTGACAATATTGTTAGGCCACACCAAGTAAATTTTATGGATGACGTCCGCGCGCGCATTGATTTTGGCCTGTTCCTAGAAAAAAAACCAAGAAATTCCGCTTCCTGTAACTATGACCAAAGAGTCACGACAGTGCCACAAATCGTCAGATTGACATGAAACCCGTAACGCGAAAACAGGACAGGACGACAACGTACTGCTGTTCCATCTGATTTATTGCTGTTTTGATGATGAATAAAAGACTTCTTGCTTGTTACACTGTGTCACCTCATTCAATTTGTGTCCTAACATTTGTCGTCTCCTAGTATATTTCTAATCTAGGCATCTTGTTTTTTAGGGCCCTTCTTGTTTTTTTTTCGCCCTCTCGCATTAGATTTAGGGTCTCCAAAGGACGTCATCCATAAAATTTACTTGGTGTGGCCTTATACCAATACCTGCACTAAATAAGTTCCTGTATTGATTCATTGGCGTTTTTTCCTAGTCTCTCTCTCTCTCTCTTTATACATTGTATATGGTGCACTAGTCGTTTAGAATTGCTGTTGCCATGTTCAAGAATAGACCAGTTTCTTAGAAACTTTACTTTGCACAACTTCTAGGCAGCAAATTGAAAATTCTATTCACTCCTATCTCACTGCATGATGACACATACTTGCCGTGTACACCTCCGTAGGTAAATTGCTGGAAGAGAAGTGGAAGCCGGTGTTTCCTGCCAAAGGTTTTCTCCACCGCCTCGATGCCATAGGAGACAGCGCCAAACAGCTACAGCAGCCACGGTCCCCTTCTGATGAAGACGAAGAAGATGAAGGAAAGGCTCTTGCTTATCGAACACAAATGGTTGTACAGAATGAAGAAAAACAGAAAAAGGAGGAAAAAGAGAAAGCCTTTGATGAAAAACAGAAAATGGGTAGGGATAAACATATTAGAGAGGAGAAGAAACAAATGCATAATGAGGGAAAACAGAGAGAGGATGCGGAGAAAGAGAGAAAGAGCAAAGAAAAACAGAAAAGTAAAAGTGAGGCCGAGGAGATGCCACGAGATGAACTGTGACATCTATATAGTATTGTGTTAACTTATATTACTCCTAGTTTAATGGGTATTTGATGACCAAGCTCAAGAAAAATTTGAAAAGAAAGTAAAACCCTTTTGAGGCCAGACCTATCTAGTAGTAGTAGTTACCTATATGCAATGATGACACTATGCGAGAGAAAGGAGTTTTCATTTAACACGTTTTCAGACTGTTTTGCAAGACATTAATAGCACTGTCATTGGTATGATCTTCCAATTTTTGCGCGGGCTTGTTGAGACAAAGATTCTAGTTAGCGTGCCTGCCAAATGAGATAACTCGAAAATTAGTCGCAATAAGTTGAGATAGTAACAGGTTTCTTTACATGTGTATTCCAATATGTTGTTGTTAAGGTAAATACAGGTAGCCTGGTTACCAGACCTATTATAGCTCCCGAGTCCTACATCCTCTTCTACTTGCGGAGAGAATGTAGGACACGGGAGCTACAATAGGTATGGTAACCAGGCTAAAATACAGGTGCTTGATAAAAGGCATGGTGCTAAAATAATGGTTTTGTCATTTACTTATCTATATGGCGTTATCTATAAATCCGCTATATCTTGTGATGTCCCAGGAAAGTACACAACAACAGCCAGTCAATATAAACAACAGTAGAACGTTCCGTAGCATTCTGTAGCAGAATTCATCTGTTATTCACAACACAGACGTGGGACTTTGACATTGTTGCGTGCAGCACGATAAATCATCCCACATTAACAACACTCCTCCCACAAAGCTTTCAGCGGTTGCTTAGCTATAGCCAAAACACAGCGCTCGGTGACCATATTACTGTGTGAGATGAATGCATTACAGTATACGTAGAAACAGCCTGTCGAAGATGTCTGGGGAGTTTGACCAAAGAACATGACCCGTGTTAAGAAGTGGGTTTTGTCTGGGCTGTGATCGATCCACAGTCGTGAACCTGCCTGTCAGATCTTCATGCCGTGAATGTGCCTGGACTATACAGTATGTTATAAGCAAAGGTTAGGTAAGCTTGTTCTAGACTTCTAACACCAAGTTTAAGACATGGCATGAAGAGGACTTAATGCGATTTTATGTAATGTCCTCCACTTACTTAATGCCCCCATACATGTAAGAACGCTTTTACAAGTCTCCATTGTAAGTTTGCCATCCGATCTTTAAAAAACTTTGCGGAATATTCCAGGTATGGGCAACACATCGATTGGCGTTTATTTGCCTTTAGAACATAAACTTTGAGTTCTGAGTACTTAAGTTAAAAGGAATCAATGTTAGCGGATTCTGATACAGAAAAAAAGCTCAAAGGGTAAATAGCTTGGGGTTTTGGGTCAACATACACTTTGTCAAGCCACGACACGTTTCAAGAACGTACTCATTTCGCGAATTCGATATACCCCGCGGCCAGAATAAAGTTGAATTCAGACAACCACACTTCATGCAAAGTGCAAGAAATCCATCTACAGTATTCTACAGTAAATCTGATTTAAATCTCAACAGTAATTTGAAAGCTGTCAAAATCCTCTTTGCATGTGACATACTAGTAGTCCATCGTATCTTAGGTTTAAGTAAGACTAAAAAAAGGACTTAAGAGAAATGAACGGCCAAAGGGAGATATATAGCAGTACTTTAGGATGCTGCACTAGTTTATTTAACCATGTCCAGTGAACTAGTATATTTGGCCCTGTTGCTATGTAAATCGGATTCAGTGGATAGGGGTTAGGGCCTAGGGAGGATGTAGGTGCGAATCCCGCTCGGGCACGGTGTGAGAGGATGTATCAGTCCTTTCGGATGGTGACGTAACGCCGTCTATATGAGGCAGCCTTTATACGTGACAGAACATGGAGAGTTGGAATTGAAAGTTTAAGGCCATGACCTTCTTGCCTAAGTGCGCTGTGTTGTTGAATTTAGCGAGTGGCTGCTAAAACATCCCGCAAGGCTACATGACTATCTACTCTGAGCTTCTGTTGCTGATGTGTTTCAGATTCTATTCTTGGTATCTCGCGCGATCGATTAAACAAGTATGGGATCTCAGCTTTTGAAAGGCCATTCTCATTATTTGTTATTCCTGAGTACGTGTGTGGTATTATTGTGGCCTTATGTACGTAAATATGTGCTCATTCCTAGTCTTTTACAAAACGTGCCAGTTCCGTTTGCTTTACCACCCAAAGCAACGTTTCCGATGGCTGTATCAGTGTATGTCCTAACGTGGAGCCACAATGTAGCATGATTATAACCAAGTCCCAGTCAGCTGCATCCGTTCGCTTACAGTCTTTCCAGTGAGCCTTAACGTCCCTGAAGTTGAACACGTTTTTTATCCGGAAATTAAACGATTTTATGAAGACAAAAAGCGAAAGCAGAATCAAGAATCTAGATAGAAAACGATAATAGCACACCCTATCGGGTTATCTACGATTATGGATGTCATGAGGCAAAGGAATATGATCCCGGTCATTGCAGCCGCCTTGAAAGACAAAGTTCTGAGGGCGACCTCAATGCTTTACCTGGATCTACTGGTCTCTTTGACATATGTAAGTCCATGATTACCGTTTGTGGGAAAAGTAGCCTTTTATTTATCTGCAGCACCGTAGTCATACCACTGTCTAGCTTTGATGTGAAAGGTCCGGATATGATGATACACTGCGGGTGACTACCATGTACTGTGGAATAAGACGTAACTTGTGGTGTAGCTTGGTTCTAAAGCTTTACTTCCAGAGCCTGCCTGTAACTGGCAGTTTGTATGGAGCTTTAGACTGTCAAAGAAAAAGCCAGAAAGTAAGCAGTATTACCGGGAAGGGAGTGGCATATCAGGATATAACTATAAAGTAAAAGGCTTTCTATCAATGTCTTCCATTGTTTTAAATCATTGTTGCTATTTTCTTTCGAGTAAATATTTTTGTCGAACTTGTGTTACATGTAGATCCAACTGACAAGACGTAGCAGGGCAATAGACCTATTAAATATATGGCCTTATGGGAACGTTATCATCACATTCCCTGTGCCGTAACCCTATTTTCAGGGGTCGCGAGCCTGCTGCTTGGTTAGGCACGGTACCAGCTGGCGCTAGTCCTGAAGGATGGTTGTGTGCAATGTATTTGGGTTTTCAGCTTTAAAAGCTCCCTGGTCCATTCAGTGATGACGTACCACACTTTCCGTCTCCTTCTATTTACCGTTCTCCTTATTTATTGTTTTTCACAGTTACTATGGCAGGTTTCTTGCCATTCTGTCAGTTATTTCTGACTTAACTGTTCTCTGATTACTATGATGTTCTGATGCCTAGCTTTTTCAACAACGTTGGTCTCTGTAGGTGTAGAAGTCTCTGCTTCAATTTAAGACATCAAACTTACGTGGTAACAGCCAGAAAACAATACGTTATCATCAGAAAAATGTCAGCTTCACTTCCACATCCAAATTCCTTTTACTGTGAGGAAGATCCACCGACGGCACCAAGGTTCATTGACTCCTACATACCGTCCCTGGTTACACAATATCCTTGGGAAATTAGACTGAGAATTTTGCCCACTCTGTACAATAATTCCGGGCCTGCGAGTGGAATTCTACCCATTCGTTACGGTCTGTTTCTGGAGCATGAACCTGGATTATTGGGATTACTGACAAGAGAAGCTGGAAAGCTGCTGTCGGACACGACCACGTTACGAAGGCATTGACCTCCCTGTACAAACACAAATGAAGATGCAGGCAGAATAGGAACATTCATTCAACTTGTACTGAATGTCAACTTCAACTGAATAAAATTCTGGTTAGTCGGACTTTACTTTACGGCGGGTGAAAAATCCTATCTACCATGACCAGCACCAAGAACAGCGTACTGGCCGTCTTGTCAAAAAATGCGAAATATCTTTAAAACATATCACCGAGTTTGGTCGAAAGAGTCCTTATCCCTTGGGCGGCTTACGTTTTCGGTGAGGGCCGATCATGACCATTTTTGGACTTTCTTTTGAAAGGTCCTCAATGATTCGCCGACTTGATCCTGAGCTCAGGCTTTCACAGCTGGCCGCATCCATCCAAAGGTCAAATCACGGAGCGCCAATCACATACCGCTCTGCCGTACCAGCAGTCAAAACTCTCCAATTCTGTACCGTAAGCCTAGCCCCTCTATAAAGTTTACACTGTTTCCAATGCCATAGTTCTAGTCTTAAAGGCTTCTTGTCGGTTTCGTGCAGTTTATATGACATAGACATAGACATATCTAAAGAAAGTTTTATGCTACATGTGCGTAACTGAAAGTTGATAATAGGTCCTGGATGCTGTTCACTTCACCTCACCGAACTCGCGAATATCTGGCCTTTCTTGATGGTAGCTTCGTGCCGTCGGCAAGATCGTCCACTTCTTCCACTATCACCACTCTGTGCACACATTATTCATCACCTAATGGATTCTTTACATTTTATACTTTACATTTTATACAAAATACCCTGATTTTCTTATGCATTGTGTGGAACATTCCTTGATCCAATTGAACAGCTGCGAAGAGCAGATACCTTTATCCTGTCCACTGGTATGTGCCTGTGAGGTTTAAGGTAATGGGGTTATATTATATATTATACAATTTCTTCTACATTCGTCTGTCACACAGAAGAGTCCATCATCGTTCAATTTCTGTTTTCTAAGGCTCCGTATTAACTTTTTTCATCGGATTTTGTGAATAATGGTTATTAGCTAAGAGCGATTTGCGATAACCTGCTAAGGTCAGACTTAAGTCGGTCCATGCAATGATTCCCTGGTCATGTGTAGCTGTGTATATTTAAAAGCACATCTCATAATCAAAGTGTCGAGTGATGCTTTTCAGCGACTGCAGCCATGCGCCAAGTATACGCTTGCGGGGGTAACCGTTAGTCGATTCTTATGTTGCAATGTGTTTAGAGGACAAGACCTAACACCTAACAAGGCGCACAAGAACAGAGACCGCAGAAAAAAATGCCTTTGGAAGGCGACAAAAATAAATATTCTAATGTGCATTGAATCACAATCAAGCAGTTTCAACGTTTTAAATGTATTTTTTTCACAAACCACATGGCAAACTGGCTTCCCTGTTCAATATGGTTCCATACAAGCTTCATGTCCACTAGAGCGTGGACAACAGGTCCAGGAAATGTTATTGAATGTTCTTACATGTACGTATGAAAAGAACAGAAAATTACGATAAGTTCTGAGAAACGCCAAGCGTCTGACAGGGGTCCTCATCGATCTCCATTTGCCCTATTGCCCTGCAGGCATTAATCATACACTGGTTGAGGCTGATGTGATCGCATTTAAATCGCGGGGTTTCCAGGTCGTTGGTTAGATCAACCCTCTTGTTGACCTACTCTTTAATAGCCTGACCTCGTTTTGAGTTCCTTTTATTTCGTGTATTTGCCTCCGCAACCTTCCTGGCTTCAGCCCATCAATCTTTGAAAAGGGTTTGAAAAGGGCGCCGGGCATCAACTAGAGCCTGCCACGAAGAAACTTTATAGACGAAAATGTCAAAATCATCAGGAAAACACGGTATACTGCAGAATCCATTCGTACAGTACATGGTGCATTCTATAATCGTAATCAGCTCCAGACATTTCATCTGTCTGGTAGGCTTCAACTCGGGTATTGGCGTCAATCAGGACTCGGCAGCACCTTGCATCCGGACTTCGTATTTTATTATGTTGGTTGATGCATTTTATGTACTTTCGGGTCATTCTCCGGTAACGGATGTGATTACAGTCGGACGTTGGAAGCGGACCACCATATGTATTTGCAAGGACGTTCTATGCACCGAATGTCTTCACAATGTGTACTAGTTGGAGAGTGCAACCAAGGTACATGCATTACAACAAAAATGACGTGCACAGTATTGTACGCCACAAAGCCTTTTATTTATCAACTGATCCGGGTTAGCAAACATTCACTATTACTACACCATTACTGAGGGTCAGTCTGTACAGAACGCACATCACGTTACTATGATGTTATAATACACACACAGAATCAGCGTAAAATTACGATTCTTTCTACTCGTGAGTACCATCAGTACTTAGTCACGTGTAGCTTTTGAGGGGATATTCACTATGTCGTCTATGGTAGCTACGTTTGAATGTACGTTTCCTATGGACTCATATTTTGCTGTTTCTACATCAACCACTGTTCACATCATAGGCTTCCTATTTTCTGTTCAGTTACTGTATTGTATATCGATTATGCATACGATCCTCTGTAACAACAAAGAGCAAGGAAGAAATTGTTTTCCCAACTTTTTATGTACAAATACGACCAGAATATGCAAAAATAATTGGACTATTATCCAAGGGACGCCGCTCCCGTGGAACTGGAATGTTTAACTGACACCACTAGTGCTGATGTGTACTTTTACGTGACATCGATACATGCACACACACACACACACAGGTACACACACACACACACACACACACACACACACACACACACACACACACACACACACACACACACACACACACACACACACAAACTCAAACATGTCGTCCCAGTACTAATGCTTCACTGATATCGAACGTGTGCAAAAACATACCTGTGCCGAGTTACGCACAAAAATGTTATTACAGCGATCTCTGCAATGTCATATAAATCCAAAAATCTAGTTCATCGTGCTTTATAAATCTAGTGTTTCAACATTTGACCATTATATCTATATCTACAAGTGCCAAAATAGACGCGCAGCATTTCCTTATCTTGTAGTAGTACTTCGTACCTCAAGAGATGCACATCTATTGATCGATGAGTGCATTTCAAAACATTATAGAAAGACAAAAACGCCAGAGGCATATTGAGAAGGGGTCGACAGTAAGAATGGTTCTGTAAGAAAGTCAAGTCGAATGTAAATGTTGCCAAAAGATGAACGATACAGAAAATGATCTTTCGGCCTCCAGGGAAACGTTCTGGCCTAACGTCATAAATCACATTTCTGATGTTACGACCTGATTCTTATCAGAAAAATCCTCTTGCTACTGTCTGGTTAAATGCAAGACTTTGGAACTATCAGCTTGTAAGTATGATGTAAGACGTTCTTGTTCTTCACCTAGAGAGCGGTGACGGTAACATCGGCTCGCGTCTCCACGATGACGTTAGTGACAGCGGTCATGCGCACACTGCCGTTGCGCGAGGTCGTGGTGTGCACTCCCGAATGGAAATCCTCACTGCGCAGGCGTCGGGTTCGTCTGCTAGGTTCACGCGACTGGGCCCGACTCCGCCTCCGGCACATGCGCCGAAACGATTCCCAACTGTCCTTTGGCAGTATCTTGATGTACTTTGTGATATTACCGTTAAAAACGACGTAGACCACAGTGTTTATGAGGCTATTACTCATAGCGATGGCCTGGGCCATGTAGAACATGTTGGGGCTGGTGGAGATCTTGATGAGGGTGCCGAAGTAGAAGTCCCTCATGACGGCGTACACGTGATACGGGGACCAGCAAAGCACGAACATCACGAAGAGCGCAAACAAACGGAAAGTCTTCTTTCGTGATCGCGACTGGATGCGGTCGTGCGACGCGTTCCGCTGGCCAGGAAACTGTCTGCGCCAAACTTTACAGACAACGAATGAGTAGAACACACTCATGACGACCACGGGGAGCAGGAACTCGCCGATCAGCAGGAAAATGTGATATCCCTTATAGACGTGTTGTAACGATATTGGCCACAGTACTCCACAGTAGACTTTATCACTGCTGGGATACGGAAGTGCGTCAGAATAAAGAACACATGGCACTGCGAACCCGACAGCAACGACCCAGATCACCAGTGATGTCCAACCCACATGGAGGCGTCGTCTTTGGGCGTCTTGGACAACGAAGTATCTGAAATGATGAAAAATCACATGTTAGACTTAGTATATATTGTGCAAATTGCTTCATCGCCTCACTCGGGGCCACGCGTTCAACTACGACAACTCGATGATTTGAATATAAAAAGGTTGCACCTCCCAGCGTGAAGGATATGATTCTTTTATGAAGCCACCAGGCAGCCTCCAGCTCTAATTGATGGGTACCCCGGGTTAAGTGTCCAGAGACACAAGTGGCAATGTTTTGATGCGATGATATCACGTAACTCTAGCACTGATTGGGGGTTAAGGTAGATGCAAGGTTAAGGTATGAAAGGTACCCTTCTTGCCGTAAAGGAGATTGAGCACCTTTTAGCTATGGTTGGTGGATTACTATACAATGAAATAAATTTTGTTTACTAATCATGTACCTAGCTATGATCGATTGGATGGTAATTTCTAATATAGTAGATACCAGGACCCCTCTTAACATTAATCCCACTGGGTCTCTCTAGCTATGGTTGGTTGATTTAATGTTTAGTGAAACAAATAAAGAGTTTGGCGTTTTTGACTAGAGGAATCATGATGATGAATTGGTAACAGAAACTGAATGGAACTGACGCGAAACCTTTCCCCCAACAACATGAATGTCTTTAAACCCCTCTTATTCTTATTCTGATTGACTGTTTTGATGTTTGTATACGACAGATAAAGCGAAAATGTCGCCAATCCCGACTTCGATCTTCAGTCTATTTAGTTCTTGCTCAGTAAACCAAATGCAGACCGTCATCTCACCGTCCTGTGCTTTAAGATCTGATTGACTGGTGTTAAATTACGCTATATACCCCTCCGACCTTCATAATTTAGAGCTTTCATACCTGAGCAGAGCATGTCATACTTGAAGGATCTGGAAGAGTATACGGAAATGATGAAGAAGCAATATGCTACAAGTACCTACTTTCGTTTGCTTATGGGTTGAAAAGTCAGCAAAACTACATTTTTCAATCCCCTCTACATGTCGTTACTTGGCGGATGCACGCTGCACAATGTACCTCCTTGTTTCCCTCCTACGCATCGCCACATGAATGTGAAAAGTCTTCCCAGCTAAGAGCTGATGACGTGTTCAGCGTGGTCGTATAAAGACGCCTTTTATACCTCTGTCGTGATCATGTTTCTGGGAAATGTCATATGAATCCTCTCCAAAGACACCCGAATATCCTTACGAATACTAAAAGACAATTTCTAAGCACTATAATCTTTCAATCACTCCTGTACCAATGACAAACTTGGTCTCAGTTACATGATTACGAGCACCTGAATTCACCTTTTGATATTTCAGAATCTATTTTTATGCCGTAAAAGTAACTAAGGCTAAGACACATGCTTTGAAGTAAATGTAGGTGATCTGTGTATGATACATGTTTATAATGTTATGTGCGCGACGTATACGTACTTATCTTTGAAATAAAACTACACAAATAAGACATGTATGCAACTAATGATATCTAAGGTCACAATGCTCAACCCGGGGCATACTGTGTTCGAATTCAGGCAAACATAAACATAAAAGTCCTGTTTGCTGACAACTACGTTGCGAGAGGTTGATACCACAGACTGTTATAAAATGAAACAACAGGAGATAATTTGCATCATCCTTGTCTTGATTTGTCTAACTTCTGTTTCCTTTTTGACATAAAAATGTCTTCACTTATTTGCTTATCAATCAATAGTTCGTGCTTTATATATATAAACCTGCATTTCTCTTGCAGTCTCTTAGTGTCACTAACGAAAGGTAGTGAATGCTACCTGAAACGTCTGACCGTTTCCAAAATCATATCCAGTTGCTTGAGTAACTTTTTTTGGGCGTAGCTAACCTTCACCGACGTGTTTTATTGAATGTATATAAGTACTCCAAATTCAATTCCCTTACTTGTGAAAACGCTTTTAGCAGTGATGTCTAGGTTAAAACGTTCTGTGTGACGCATGTACAAGAGATTTATGGATGCATCTGATGGTTTGCGGCAATCGTTCACGGTGCATCTCCTCGGGTTGCCGCCAGCAGACATCATCGTACGTCGGCGCCACTGTTTTCATTAAATGGCATTTTGGTAAATGCAGGTACTAACTAAGCTATTATCATACTAAAGCTATTGGTTATAGAACGTACAGCGCCAAATACGCTAATACATGCAGCACACGCGGCTCTCATTAAATCCAAAGTTCCAAAGTGATACGTGAGGTGGAGTTGTCTTTAAATTCAAAGTTCCACACTAATACGTGCAGTAGCGCTCATTAAACCCAACGTCTCAAACTAATACGTGCGGTGGAGCTGTCATTACATCCAAAGTTCCAAACTGGCAAAGACTATCTTTTGAGCACAGAAAACCAATAGAAACAAACATATTGAACGCCTATATATAAATGATTGCGTTGCTAAAACTGCACTAATTCAGTTCTAAACTATATCTCACATGGGTCTGTGTAATAATTAATATTCACTGTCTCTCTACATGGAAATACAGTCTCCACATCAAACGCGACGAAATGTCATTGACACCTATTTATGCTCAGGTTCATAACAGCATTGCTTGACAGCGTGGAAAGCTTTTATTTTGTCGGATGAACTTATATTGATATACATATGAATAGGCACGATTTTGTCGCCAATGAAAAGTACGTAAAGACAAATGTAAACGGCGGGAGACAGACGCCACCGGGTCCTGTTTTTCCTGTTGAATATTTCCTGGAGGAACCCTTGACAAGCAGGGTGCAGGTCCGTGACCAAACACGCGACAGTAGGAAGCCAAATCACGTAGGAAGCTACCCCGGGACCTTAACGTGTGATTAACGGTCTCATTAAAGGTGCTGACTGTGCGTGCGTGCGTGCTGGTCTGAAGTGTTGTTTCTTCGTGGCAGATGTTTTAGAAGCTAAGATGGTAGACGTCAAATTTTGGATTTCCCATCCTCCAATTAGTGACACTAAAACCACTACTCTTCCCGGGGTCTTATTACATACATTGTAAAATACAAACATTATAACTACTATTTACGTTCACTTCTAACTACTTTGGAAAAAAGTTGTCTTACTAACATTTGTCATCTAATGATAATTTTATTACGTATATATGATAATATTATTAATCATTCATTGATGAATTAATAAATTCATGATAATACGTTAGAGATAATTTCCTGTAGCAAGTTTGTCTTCAAAATTTGGATACGGAAGAACTTAAATGACAATGTAACACGCAATGTTGGCTACCTTCTTTTTAAAAGCATCATTCACGTCTTGTCAAATTCTTGCCACTGGCAAAGTTCCGTGAAATATTATACTGTAAATGAGGTTTCCGTATTTTACATATACCATCGTTACCCATTCATCATTCCCAAAATAAAACCTGCATGTACGAAAACAAACACAGGGTTATTCTCCTAGGGCTACCAGCGGTTGTCTCTTCCTGCCATTAGCGCAGTGCGACATGATCTATCTACCGTGGCCCAGAGGCAGCCTACCAGGGGAGTGGATGATGTAGAGAGGTCAAACCTACGCCGCGTCGGTACACTAAGGTGGTTTCCAGACAAACCTTCGCACAACAGAAAGGTGCATGAGCATTTATCGCATGCGTCATGTTGCCAAACCTTGAACTGGTTAGATCCAGTTGCACCGTACTCTGTCATCTCTACCATCGGTGTGTTCAGGCTATAAACAACAATATAGGATTTGCCAATTACTTATTTCCACCTGTACTAATGCACTGAAGGTATTTATAAACTTGCTTTCTAATATTTCCAATGTGGGCATTCTTTAGCTCAGCTAATCTTGTTTTTCTGCGCCTTTGTGAGTTCCATGCACGTCATGATGAATAGCTGATATCATCTGGTGAAGTCAAACGCGCAGCAACGTAAATCCTGACAATCAATTATTACGGCAAATCAGCTAAGCCGCTAATCAACGTTAAATTAAATTCTGTCAGAAAGGGCGATGACAAGTGAGCAGCTCACAGTAAGCACCAATGCTCGGCGGAGAACCTGGAAGGGAAAACAGCTAAGTTGGCTGAATAAGAGAGAAACGTGCAGCACAGTCCAAATCCATACCCGAGGGCTAGTTGCAAGGACATAGAACATGAATAAAAATAATGGTAAGCAATAAAGATAACAATAGAATTATACGACTAAATGCACTAATGCTACTTCAATTAATAAGAGAGACGTAAAACAGAATGACGTTACGAAGGAATCATTGCTGTTGGGCGTTACCTGTCAGTATTAATTACAATCCTAACGGCGCCACATCACATATCAACGTGCACCTGGGTGTTTCACGCTGACAAGACTAAATTCCTACCAGAAGTGATCACTTAAGTTGTTCGCCCACGTGTGCATCACAATGTCCCTTCAGGACAGACCGGCGCCTCTGATTCTGACTTTTCTACAACCCCACTCCTTCTTTTGTCACTGGCATGTCGTATTCTATTATCTTTATAGAGGGACATCATTTGCAACGCCTCCAGGTGGCAATATACACAAAAGCAAAATAAAAACAAGAGTCTGTGGGACATAGACTTCCGTGATGGTGTTTGATACCCTCTTTCTACTACCGACAGGCCAAATCACACGACTAATCCCTCTAAAAAATCTTGATTCATAGGTGCGAAGACGCAGACCTAAACAAAGTTGTTCAAAGTATGAAAGTTGTAAAAAAGGCTCTTGCAACATTTCCTCATAACTTGTCTAAATATGGCCCTGATTTGCATTGTTTATATTGAATAAACTCAATTTTGAAATGTCTCTGATGAGTTAGGGAATTCTGTTTTTTCTGATCAATTATGCAAATCAGAGCCTCATTTACATAACTGATGCCTATCGATGTTCCCCTCTATTTCAGTTACATATGCACATGTTTCACGGCGTAGTCATATCTACAATACAAGAAATATTGAAATTACATGGCGAGTTTCCCCGGCTTTTCTGATTGACGTCATGGGAAGCGACTTTACAAGCAAAACGAGATCCGTTCTCCACAGTAAAATGTTA